CTCGGAAGTGGTTGATGGCATTAGGGCTATTTCCAGCCATTTGGAAAAGGCGTCAACAATTATTAGAAAATTCTGGCCGTGGAAAGGCCCTGCAAAATCTATATGAATCCTCCCCCATGGGCCTTTAGGTTTTTCCCATTCCCTAATGGGAGCTACAGGAGGATTGGGGCTGGATTCCTGGCAAGGCCTGCACTTTCCCACCCACTCTGTGACATCTCAGTCAAGTTGTGGCCACCACACATAACTCCGAGCCAGACTCTTCATTCTGACAATACCAGGGTGCCCCTCATGTAGCAATTCCAATACCCGATACCTTAACCGGGAGGGGATAACCATCCTATTGCCCCACAATAAACAGCCCCCCAACATAGACAACTCATTCTTTTTGTTAAAGAACACTTGAAAATCCCCACTGTCCACCTTAGTTGGCCATCCCCTCATGACCCAGCCCATAACAGTGTCTTTGGCAGAAGCCCTTGCCACCTCGCCAAACGAGAGGGGACCCAGGGACACAACATTGATTAACAATACAGGGGCTTCTGGAGTCGGATTTTCCAATAGATCGGGCAAGGGGCATCGGCTGAGGGTGTCAGCATGGCCCAGAGTCTGGCCCGGTCGGTGGATTAGTCTATATGAGTAAGCGGCCAGGAAAATAGACCACCTGGTCATCCGGGGGGAGAGAGTGGCCAGGGTAGGTTTGTCACCAGCCAAAAGTCCCAACAATGGCTGATGGTCCGTTATAAGTTCAAAAGTCCAGCCAAACAAATATTCGTGAATTTTTTTGACTCCCGCCACAGCTGCTAAGGCTTCCCTGTCCAGCTGGCTATAATTTTGTTCTGCAGTGGACAGGGTACGAGAGTAATAGCCAATGAGCGCCTCTAATCCATTCGGTAGTCTATGGCTCAACACAGCGCCCACTCCAAAAGGGGACGCATCGCAGACAAGTACAAGCGGCAATTCCGAGTTGTATTGGATAAGGAAACTGTCTTCAGACAAAAGTTTTTTAGCAGCCTTAAATGCGGCCACTTCAGTTTTGCCCCAAACCCAAGGAACGTTTTTTCCTAGCTGTCTATGTAATGGTTCCGCAATGGTGGCTTTGTCTTTGAGAAACATGGTGTAAAAGTTTAGAAGTCCAAGGAAGGCCTGCAGTTCAGCCTTCGACTTTGTTGTGGGTGCATTTTGGATGGCCCTTACTTTGCTTTCTGTGGGGTGAATGCCTGTGCCGTCAATTCGGTAGCCCCAAAATTCTACGGAGGGTACCGCAATTTTACATTTGGACTTCTTGAGCTTAAGTCCCGCCTCTCTAAACTTGGTGAGCACTTGTCTAACTCTGTCTCCAAGCTGCGCCTCATTCTGGCCACTAATGAGGACATCGTCAAAATAGGGTACAACCCCCGGGAGTCCTTGTAGTAGGCGCTCCATAGTGCTTTGGAAAAGCCCTGGTGCAATGCTAACCCCAAACTGCAGTCTAGTGCATTTGAACGCACCTCTGTGCGTTACTATAGTTTGTGATTCTGCCGTAGCGTCATCTACCGGCAGCTACTGGTACGCCTGCGCAAGGTCTAACTTAGCAAATATCTTGCAAGGGCCCAGGGAGTGAAGTAGATGGTGGACGATCAGAACTGGATAGGCGCTCTGCTGCAATGCCTTATTGATCGTGCATTTATAACCAGCGCAGATTCTGATTGATCCGTCTGACTTTACTGGCGTGACTATTGGGGTTTACCACCTAGCGTGATCTACAGGAACTAACACCCCTTGTTTGATCAGTTTGTCAAGTTCTGTGTCTATTTTTGGTTTTAGGGCAAATGGTACTCGTCTTGCCTTTAACCTAATCTGGGCTACATTAGGGTCTAAATTAAAAGAAATAGGGGTCCCCACGTACTTGCCTAGCATCTCTTCAAAAACTTCCTGGAACTCATGCAGGAGGCTTTCCTTTAGAGATGGTCCGCCGAGGCTGTGGACACCCGTGGAGCCCATGCCGAGGGCTCGAAACCAGGCTAGGCCCAGGAGGCTTGGTAGTGACTTGCTTATGATGGCCAGGGGAAGCTCTTTCTGGAACTCGCTGTAGGTGACCCGAAACATGCCTATGCCTTCCACAGGAACTCGGTTCCCTTGGTAGTCAAGAAGGTGAACTCGTTGCCATGAAAGCTGGTTTCTCTGGAACTTCGGTAGAAGCGATTTAAGCGTTGCCCAGGACATGATTGACAGGGCAGACCCGGTGTCGATTTCCATGTCGCATGGTCTCCCTTCAATTTATACTCTCGTGTAGACCTGTTCCTTTACAGACTTGCTGGCTTGGCCGATTCTCGTGCTGTAGGTTTCTCACTTTTGATTCTCACGCTGTTTTCTCACGCCGCCATCTCTGGTTGGCCGATTTGAACGCGTCGGTTCTGGTTGGTTGTGATAGTCACGTGACTTGTTATTTCGAGGAAATTGAGCTCTACAGACTCTAGCCAAATGGCCCTTCTTTTCACAGCGCCTGCAAATGGCGTCTCGGTATTTGCAGGACTATCTCTCGTGATTTCCACTGCAACTCGAGCAGTTCTCACGGCGATGACTTTGCTCGCCCTTCTTTTTGTCCGTGTGGAAGACGTCCTCATCTGACTCTTCCTCCGTGCTGGTCTGCGCCTCCTTTCGATGAACAGGGGCTGACTTCGGGCCTTCTTTGCTCGGCTGTGGATGTTGTAGCGCTTCGGAAGCCTTAGTGGACGCTTCGTGTGCTCTAGCTTCATTGAGCGCGCCGGCTAATGTCAAATCTGGCTTCGGGAGTAAGCGCCTCTGTAATCGAGTGTCTCTCACGCCACAAAACAACTGTTTGAGGAATGCTTCATCTAGATCCCGGTAGTTGCAATGCGTTGTGGCTTTTCGAAGGGCAGCCACATATGTGCTGACCGGTTCTCCTTCTCTTTGTTGCCAGAGGTCGTAGCGTTGTACAAACTTAGAAGGAACGGGAGCGTAGTGAGCTCTCAGGTTTGCTTGTAGGATGTCCCAGGGGACCCTCTGAACTGGAGTTGGCTCGCAGAGGGACTCGGCCATCTCAAAAACGTCTGGCCCTCAGTGGCTCAAGAAGAGGGCTCTTTTTCGGTTTGCAGAGAGTCCTTGTATCTCACTTGCTTCCAGGGAGCACTCGAATCTGGTCAGGTACGACCCCCACTTCTCTCGGGTTGGATCGAAGGGTTTTGGCGGGATGTAGGCAGACATCGCAGTATGTGTCCGTAGTCCGCTCGTCACCCTGGCTGAAAGTCAGAGCTCTTTTTGATTTGCTTCTTGTGGCCTCATTCCCATCCTCGTCGCCAATGTTGTAGCACGGGAATAACGAGAGGCCCAAGCAAGCTAGTGACAACAGTTCTTTAATTCAGGGTGAGACTTCAGCAAAGAAACACAGGCAACAGCCCTCCTTATATACAGTTCTGAAATAACCGTTAACCAATCACAAGTATTCCTGCATTTGAATTTCCCGCACAAAATAGATACATATATAACATTATTATTGATACTTGATAAATATTTTACAATAAAACATTTTCCCAAAAACAAAAACAAAATCTGGCTTATTGTGAGAACTAATGATGATGCACGGACTACATTGGAATTTCTGACTTCCTCTGGCATCTCTATTCCTTAAGAGCTGTGGTGGCGCAGTGGTTCGAGTGCTGTACTGCAGCCTCTGGGAGGGCGAAAACAGCCTCCCCAGGCTCTGGAGGCCCTCTGGAGGCTAGAAACAGGCCCATTTCCTGACTTCCTGAACTTTTGGTAGGTCTGTTTTTGCCCTCCCTGAGCCTCTGCGCACACCCTGCTCTTACCTGCATCCAAAACGGGCTGTGTGGGGACTCCCTGGAGTGCGTGGCAGGGTGGGCAGGGCAGGATATTTGGGGGTTCTCGAAACTGAGAATGGGCTCAACGAGATCACCGCAGTCCCTCCCAAACTGCACAGAATTTTAGCCAGAGGTTCTCCCGAACCCCTGAGAACCCTCAGCAGCCCACCCCTGCACCCGTCTCAGCAAATGAATCTGGGCAGATCACCGTTCTGAGAATACAACAAAATGGAGTTGATCATGTTTCTGTATGAATCCCACAGAAGGCCAATGGATTTAGCTGAGTTATTCATGGATACTCCAAATTAGCCTCACTGCAGCCCTGTGATGTGAGAAATGAATGGACATAGATGCATCTCCTCCAACCTGATGAGCTTCAGGCTTCAGTGTAGATTTGAACCCATCACGTTCAAGGACAATGATCCTTTACTGTCTGCTCCGTATCCACTTTCCTCTATTCTTAAATGCCCTTCTCTGTAGGTTGCCCACTTAGCCTAAGAGCAAAAAGTCAAAGTATTTGCAATAGTTCCACTTTCTCCCATTCCTACTTGCCCCCACCAGCTCGGCTCCCAATCAAAAACCTCTGTTCACAAATTAAAGCCATTGCATCATGTCCAGAATGTGTTGAGTAGAATTGTTTCAGGAAGGACAAAGAGGTCAGGTCTGTAAAAGGGGATTATTCATTTCTCAACACAAATGATGTTTACCGATAAATATCTGCAGCACATCACATCTTCTCTCTGAATCGCACACTGTACTTTTGTTCTGTCACTAAGGCCCTCGTGCCAAATGTCTCCAGGAAGAAGCAAGACACGAAGGAGGAGACACGTTTGTTTTGCTGGCACAACTCAACAGTTGACGTGTCCCTATTTCATGTATTAATGATCATTTAACAAAATGGCCCAGAGGAATTTCCCAATCTTCTCTTCTGCTTTGTGCTCCCTGGATAGATGACCTTCAGATGACCTACGTGGAGGTTTAGGTGAAACAGAAATCAGAGTGTCAGCAGTTGCCAACATTGGGTGGCATGTGGCCACTCAAGTCAATATTGTTCCGGGATCAACCTTAGTCAAATGGGATTGGAGGAGAACCAAATGAATAGGGCCAATGAGGAAACAGAACCAACAGCATGTGACGCCAAGACTCTCTTCGGATTATGTTTAAATTCCCCCCTCTGAGTCAGCTTGCTCACTTTCTCCTGAAGCTCTGGACAGGTGCTTGGAAGCTCATTTCTTTCATCTTGCTGGAATTGTATAACTGCGCAAGGAGCCTTTGTGAGACTTCAGTCTGACTTTCACAATGGGGTCCATCATCTACTTTCTCCTGTTGGGGTTCGTCTTCCCTGGACACAGCGTCCCTCTGAGCCCTCAAAAAGGTGAGTTCTCCCCTCTTTCTTTGCACTTTCTTTGGTTGAGTATGGAGATTTTTTTCCTTAGGATTAGAGGTTTCTCAACAATTCTTTTTCTTTCATATATATATGTGTGTGTGTGTCTGTATACACCTCTGTCTGGTTGACAATCTTAACTGGGGCTTCTTTTTGGGGTAGGGCTTATATTACAAGCATCCTGAAAAATCATGCTAGGACAGTGCTCACCTCTGTTTTAAAGCCGAAGAGCCAGTGCTGTCCGAAGACGTCTCCGTGGTCATGTGGCCAGCATGACTAAATGCCAAAGGCCCACGGAACGCTGTTAGCTTTCCACCAAAGGTGGTCCCTATTTTTCTACTTGTATTTTTTACGTGCTTTCGAACTGCTAGGTTGGCAGAAGCTGGGACATTTAATGGGAGCTGACCCCATTACGTGGCACTAGGGATTCAAACCGCTGAACTGCCGACCTTTCGATTGACAAACTCAGCATCTTAGCCACTGAGCCACCACATCCCTTACACACACACACACACACACACACACACACACACACACACACACATTGTCAGCGTTTCAGAAAATCCCAACTCCAAGTAAAGACATGGAAGCAAGGATTTTCCAAAGTTCTTTTTACTAGAATAGATAAACTGGCACATCGGAAGTGTGGAAAGGAGGTTGGCACCTTCTTTCATATGTGGTGGTCCTGCTCAGAGACAAAAAAGTTCTGGACAAAAATACGAACTTGGCTGCGGGAAATAGTGGAAGAAGATATAAAATTATCTCCAGAAATTTTCTTACTAGGAATGATGGGAGATGGACTCTCTAAGGACAAGACACAATTGATTACACATATTATAACAGCGGCCAGATTAACTTTTGCAAAATACTGGAAAGATAAACAAATACCTCCAGAGATGACAATAATAAATAAAATTTTGGAATGTGCAGAAATGGCAAAATTAACCAGTATGCTTAAAGATGATGAGAATTCAAAATTTAAGGCAGTATGGGAAAGGTGGTATAAATGGTGGAATAATAGAACAAGACTATAAGGATATGCCTATTTCTAATAATGATAGATTTGAAGATACTTGTTGTGTATATACTGTATATATGTAATCGCACAATACCTCAGATGTTACCTGAGATTTGATATTTTCTTTTTAAAAAAACCTTTTTTTAAAAAATCAATAAAGTATATTTAAAAAAAAAAAGATAAACTGGCACATCTGGGAAAACCCGAATCTGAAAGGTCTGGGTTTTCCCTCAGTAAATCAAAAAACCCCAAACCATCCCCTCACTCCTCAGTCGATCACATGCTCCAATCAACATCCATCCCATCTCGACTCAGCACTCCGACCACTCCTTCTCCAGATGCCGGATCACCTTAACCAACAGGAAGAATGCTATTATGTCTACAGTCAACCCCTCTACTAAATCCTCCTTCTTACTTTCCCAGACAAGAGAAGGTGGCAGCCTGGAAGCTTCCCACCTAATATGGCTTCCAAAGCTGACATATATACAAACACACACACACATATCTATACATATCTATACATACATTTACATTTACATTTACATTTACATTTACATTTACATTTACATTTACATATACATATACATATACATATACATATACATATACATATACATATACATATACGTATACATATACATATCTATTTTCTTACTTCTTTGTAGGATTTATGTGTGTTTTTCCTCTAGCCAGGAAAAACCTGCGGATCAAATCTCACCGTCTCAAGGTTAACTCAGCCTTCCATTCTTCCTAGGTGGATAAAATGAGGACCCAGATTGCTGGGGGCAATATGCTATTTAGTATACTGTCTTTGTTGTAAGCCGCCCAGAGTCCTCGGAGAGTGGGCAGCATAGAAATTCGAAAAATAAACAAATAAACAAATAAATAAATACATACATATACGTACGTACGTACGTACGTACATACATACCAGTGGTGGGTTCCTCCTGGTTCGGTCCGGTTCGGCCGAGCCGGTAGCGGTGACGATATGACGTCACCGAACCGGTTTTCCCCCCTGCCCTCCCCTCCACCCCCACCCATTTTATTCTTACTTTTTATTTGGTCCCACCCCCAATCTATTGCTGCCTCCTGAGTCCCAGCTGATGACTAGAGGGAAAAAAACTGTTTAAACTCTTGCTATGGGGCTTCAAAGGGCCGTCCTACAGCTGATCAGTGTTAAAAGCAAACAAATGAGTCAGGTCGTAAGTGCGAGGACCTTCCAGAAATGACTCTGACCAGCTAGCCATGCCTACCTAGTCACATGACCTCCAAGCCACACCCACAAAATAAGCCACGCCCACAGAACCGGTAGTAAAAAAATTTAGAACCCACCCCTGATACATACATACATACATACATATATTGCGAACTATCCTAAAAATACGAATTCCAGGTGTAGCCATAAAAGAAGAGACAGACATCGCGATCTCTGGAACTTAAAATATATTAACCACTGACCTTTCGTTAGCCTCTGCTAACAATGTTAGGGTGTAAAAACTACCATTGAGGAGATATTAGCCATTATACATCATTGATCAATTTGGCCATTGTGCCCGTGATCGGCTCATCTACCCGCCTCCCACCTATAATTAACTCTGTCGGTTTTACTTCAGGCATGTTAATCGATGGAGGCTTAGCTGCTGTTGCTTCCTCCCCTTATTGTGCACCGCTTGGGTTGCCCATCCCTAGGGAATAACGCTGAGCTGGCAGCTATTGCGTTAATGGCATTCTATTCTATTCTATTCTATTCTATTCTATTCTATTCTATTCTATTCTATTCTATTCTATTCTATTCTATTCTATTCTATTCTATTCTATTCTCTGCTCTGCTCTGCTCTGCTCTGCTCTGCTCTGCTCTGCTCTGCTCTGCTCTGCTCTATTCTACTCCAATTCCAGTTGACGAATATACTCTGACATTCTCTTCACTAGACTAGCCAGGCCCACTTCCTGCAACCATTCATCGTATGTTTTAGCCTCCGGTCCCCTCATCATCCTGGTTGTTCTTCTCTGCACTCTTTCTAGAGCCTTAACATCTTTTTTTATAGCGTGGTGACCAAAACTGGATGCAGTACTTTAGGTGTGATTTTACTAAGGCTTTATAGAGTAGTGTTAGTACCTCACTATCACAGTTGTTGAGGTTGAAGGAAAACGCAAATGATGGAACTGCATGGTTCAGAATTAGAAAGATGCCAATTTGGAAATAACTTATTTTCCAAAGCTCCAGAAGGCAAGAGAAGAAACAATGGATGGAAACTCATCAAGGAGAGAAGCAACCTGGAATTGAGGAGAACCTTTCCTTCCAATTCAATTTCAATTAATGAAGATTAACAGATTAACAGAGTTGGAAGGGATCTTGTAGGTCATCTAGTCCAACCTCCCACCCAAGCAGGAGACCTTACACCCTTTCTTACAGATGGCAGTCCAATTTCTTCTTGGAAGCCTCCATTGATGAAGCTCTCACAACATCCAGAGGCAACTTCTGTTCCATCGGTTGATTGTTCTCCCTGTCAGAAAATTCCTAGGTTGAATCTCTCCTTGTTCAGTTTCCATCCATTATTCCTTGTCTGGCCTTCAGGTGCCTTGGGAAATAGCTTGACCCCTTCCTCTCTGGGGCAGCCCCTTAAATATTGGAACACTGCTATCATACCCATAGTGCGCGCGCTCACATTTGCGAACTAGTAACGAAGGTAAGTGATTACCATCTCTGCCTCTAGGACCGACCAGTTTGATCGCCTTGCAGTCCAAGGGACTCGCAGGAGTCTTCTCCAGCACCAGAGTTCAAAGGCCTCAATTCTTTGGCGCTCAGCCTTCCTTATGGTCCAACTTTCACAGCCATCCATTGCAACTGGGAAAATCATAGCCTTGACTCTACACACTTATGATGGCAGGGTGATGACTCTGATTTTTATTGTGCTGTCTAGATTTGCCATAGCTTTCCTCCCCAGGAGCAAGCGTCTTTTAATTTCTTGGCTGCAGTCCCCATCTACGGTGATCTTGGATCCCAGGAAAATAAAACCTGTCACTACCTCCATTTCTTCCCCATCTATTTGCCAGGAATTGAGAGGGCCGGGTGCCATGATCTTAGTTTTCTTACTGTTGAGTTTCAAGCCAAATTCAAATTCAAATCTTTATTGTCAGTGCACAACATATGTACAATGAGATTGGCCGAGCTCCCTCAGTGCGCCCCCCCCTCAACACAATACAGCTCACAGTGAAGACAGAAAACCCCTAACCCAATAAATCATATTAACAAAACACCCAGTCTTTTGCACCAGTGTGAACATGTTACACATTGCATCAGCCCTGCAGTCCATCATACTACGTAGTTATGATGTTATTTCTCATTCAGGAGTCTGACAGCCCACGGATAAAAACTGTTCTTCAGCCTGTTTGTGCGGCTACCTATGCTTCTATATCTCCTTCCCGATGATAGGAGGGTAAAGAAGTGGCGACTAGGGTGAGAGTCTTCCCAGCTTTTGCACTCTCCTTCTTCACCCACATCAAGAGGCTCTTTAGTTCCTCTTCACTTTCTGCCATTAGAGTGGTATCATCTGCATATCTGAGGTTGTTGATATCTTATTTATTTATTTATTTATTTATTTATTTATTTATTTATTTATTTATTTATTTATTTTATTTCTATACCGCCCTTCTCCTGAAGGACTCAGGGCGGTGTACAGACTAATTAAAAACACAAAGACAGACAAAATTTAAAAATAATTAAAATTATTAAATAATAGGCCCAATTTATAAAACCCTGAATTTAAAATCCCATTTAAAGCCAATTAAAATCTTTATATTGTTAGCCCAGCCTGGTGGAACAAAATGGTTTTGAAATGGTATTTCGCACAGCGAAATACACAGAGATCAGAGATTTTACGAATTTCCGGGGGCAGTTCATTCCAAAGGGCAGGGGCTCCCACAGAGAAGGCCCTCCCCCTGGGTGTCGCCATCTGACATAATTTGGCCGATG